AGAAAAATCCGCCAAGGCCAATTAGGACTCCCTTTCCCAAGTCTTTATAGCCAAAGCTACTAATGCTAAATTGGTTTTGACCCAGAAATTTTTCTCCCTACACATGCAACCTAGTGAGACAATGGCAACATACATTGGGAAGCTCAAGGGCTTAATGCAGCAGTTGAAGGAAGTAGGTGCTACAGTTTCCAATGACTATGCAAAAGCCTTTTTGCTCTACTCTGTATCCCTAGAGTTGCAACAATCATCCACCATGCTCTCTTTTGTGCCAGGCAAAACCATGAAGGAGCTCTACTCTGATCTGCTTGAGGAAGAGCGCAAGATTGCTGAGTGTCAAGCTGGCCATCAAGGATCCCCTCAGGTTGCTTGCGAGTAAGCCTTGTTTCTTGGTAAGAAACAATCGAGTAGGGAGCAGAAGAAAGGAGGCACTAGCCATGGGCCTCGTATCTCTTCTATTACAACTCCCAGCTCTAGATCTAACTTCTCCAAGAAGAAAAAAGGTCCTCGCAACTATTGTGGAAAGATGGGGCATGTCGAGTGTGAGTGTCGTGCAAAGAAGGCTGCAACCCAGTGCATGCTTACCCAGAGCAACTCGTTATTGATGATGGCTCTTTACCCGTCACCGGTGTCTACTCTTGAGGTTTTATGGTTGGATAGTGGTGCCTCCTTTCACATGACTCCCTTAAGGTCTGCCTTTCACACTTACAAGGCTCTTCAAACTCCACAATAAGTTTATGTTGGCAACAAGTGACCACTCCAGGTGGAAGGTCATGGCATGGTGGTGATCAAGCTACCCAATAGACTTCTCAAGGAAGTTCATCACATGCACTTTGTACCTGAAGTAGGGCAGACAATTCTTTCTATAGGTGCAGCCTCAAATCAAGGCTTTATTACCACCTTCTTCCCAAAAGGGTGCACCATCTATGGTCGTGATGGTAGTCCTGTAGCCAGTGGCGTGAGGTATGGAACACTCTACCATTTAAACGCAGAATTGGTTTTTCCAGCTCAAGTGCTTGCTTTCCAAGCACAAGACACCATTGAGCTCTGGCATGCTTGTCTGGGGCATGTCAAGGAACGAGATCTGCACGCCTTGACTCGTAACCAGCATGCTAAAGGCATCACGCTCTCAGCTGGCCATCTGGGCATGTGTGAAACTTGCCATCTTGGGAAGTAAGTTTGCCTTCCTTTTCCATCAAAAACCATGGAGGACTAAGCTACAGGTTTACTAGATCTAGTTCATAGTGACGTGTGCTACTTGCCCGTGTAAACACTCAGCCGCAAGAGGGACTTTGTGTCTTTTATCGATGACCATTCCAGATATATTGTGGTGAGCCTTCTCCATGCCAAGAGCGAAGTGTTCAACCACTTTAAGTTTTTTAAGAGCTGGGTAGAGACATCTACTGGCCAAAAGATTTGTGTGTTACGCACGGATGGTGGTGGAGAGTGCCTGAACAGAAAGTTTCTCAACTTTCTAGCTGAGGTTGGCATCATTCACCAGTACACGACAGCCCATACTCCCCAACAAAATGGCATGGCAGAGCACCTTAATCGCACTCTACTAGAGACTGTTTGTGGCCTTCTCCAGCACGTAGGCATACCCAACTCTTTTTGGGGTGAAGCCATTAACACGGATGTTTACATTTGTAACTGCCTTCCCACAAGGAGCACTGGTGTGGTTTCTTATCAAGCTTGGACTGGGAAGCGTCCTCAATTAAGGCACTTGAGGGTCTTCGACTGCACAGCATATGCTCGCATTCCAGATGTGACTTGGCAGAAGCTGGATCCTAGGAGCCAGAAAACCATCTTCATGGGCTATCATGCTCATTCCAAGGCCTACCACCTCTACAATCTTGCTCTCAAGAAGCTCATGGTCAGCCGAAATGTCTCTTTCAATGAGCAAGAGCTTTATCGCCACATTCAAGGTACTATCCCTTCAAGTTCTAACTTGGTGGACTTGACCCCAGTGCTATAAGATGAGCTCACCCACCCACCACACTAGCAGTTCAGAGGCTGCTCATTCCAGAAGGAGGAACACCTCCTCCACATGGTGATGAGCCTTCTCCAGCAACTCCGTTGCTACCAGTTCCTCTGGTCACTTTGCAGCAATACTACTTCATCTAGTGAGCAAAATCTTGCTGCCACTGTGGACGAGCTGTTTGTTGGTGAAGAAATAGTTGGAGGATCTTCCCGCTCACCTCCTCTAGATTCTCTCATGACACCACCACCTCGTCAAGAGATTGGAGCTATTACCCATTCAGGATGAGTGAGCAAGCCAACAGTCAAAGCTCTAGAATCTCTTGCTCAAGCTCCACACAAGAAGGGATTCTACTGGGCCATGAGCTCCATTGCTGAACCTCATGGCTACTGGGCTGCTCTCTCCAATCCTGATGCCTCACAGTGGCAAGCGGCCATGCAAGACGAGTATGACTCACTGATCAAGAATGGAACCTGGACATTGGTTCCCCTCCCTCCCAGCAGGAAGGCAGTCACAGCCAAGTGGCTGTTCAAGAAGAAATATTGAGCTGATGGCAGCATTGAGCGCTACAAGGCATGCTTTGTAGCTTGTGGTTTCTCTCAGATCCAGGGAGTTGATTACTCTGAAACTTATAGCCCTGTTGTAAAGCTAACAACAATTCATGTTTTGATGAGCCTTGTAGCTGAGCTCGACCAGGATCTCCATTAACTTGATGTGAGAACTGCTTTCCTGAACGGCGATCTTGAGGAGGAGGTGTACATTGCCCAGCCTCCTGGGTTTATACATCCCAGACAGGAGCATCTTGTCTGCCGCTTGCAAGGCTCTCTACAGGCTGAAACAAAGCCCCTCATGGTACACTAAAATTAACAGCTTTCTGACCTCATAGGGCTTTACTCGCAGCACAACTGATAATAATCTCTACATATATCAAGATGGCCAAGGGTTTCTATTCTTAGCCTTATATGTGGACGATACAATATTAGCCTCCAACCATATATAACTCATCCACATCAAGGCCTCTCTCACTGCTAAATTTGAGATGACTGATCTAGGAAACTTGCACTACTGTCTGGGAATTCAAGTCTTCCGGGATAGGCAACGTGGAGTACTTGAGCTCTCCCAGGAGAAATACATCCATGACATTCTCCAAAGGTACTCTATGCTTAACGCTAATCCGGTGGTTACTCCTATGGAAGCAAGCTCAAAGTTGTCCAAGGCTTTTAGTTTGACATCAACCTCTGATGACACTCCCGAGGAGAAGACCACAACACTGTACCATTCAGTGGTCGGGAGCCTCATCTACTTGATGGTCTCAACTAGGCCTGACCTCACATTCAGTGTGGGAGTAGTCTCAAAGTTCCTGGACAATCCATCACCCTCACATTGGGCCACTGTGAAGCGAATCATGAGGTATATGAGTGGCACAAGGAAATTCACACTGAAATATGCAAGAGGAGATGGAGACAACGGCCTGGTGGGATTCACAGATGTAGACTGGGCAGGAGATCCAGATGACAGAAGATCCACTTCAAGGTATGTCTTCATGTATAACCATAACATGGTTAGTTGGTGTTCCAGGAGGCAGCAGATCACTGCAATGTCCTCATGTGAATCTAAATACATCGCAGCTGCAGCAGCAGCAAAAGAGGCCATCTAGCTTAAGACGTTGCTACAGGACCTCGGATTCAAATTCCAGCAGTCAAATTCTACTATGACAATATGTTGGCAATGGGATGAGAGATTTCACTCACACACCAAGCACATTGAGTTGAGGTTCCATTTCATCTAGGATCAAGTCAACAATGGAAAAATCAACCTGGAATTCTGTCCGACCAGCTCAATGGTCACTAATATCCTAACGAAGTCTTTGCCTCGAGTGAAGCATGAACTCTTCCTCAATTCACTCTGTTTCACTGACAGTGTGAGCCTTGAGGAGGAGTGTGGAAACAAGTGATGACAAGTCTCCACATCAGCAAAGAAGACAAGTTGTTCATCCAAGACACCAACTGCCAAGCATCACACCCATACTATTATGTACATAACCATACCAAAGCAATGAAGTCGACAAAGCATTCCGCACACAAAAACACATCTACAATGAGCGTGGCCGCCACCACCTTCACACCTTCGACTCGGGAAGTGACGTCGCAGGTGGCAAGAGACATGCCTCCCGCTGGCGACTGGAGTAGGATCGGCATCTCTGAGCAAGGCAAACAAGGCTTGCTAGTGTTTCCAAAGCCGGAGGAGTTGGCCGGCTACACTTACTGCCGTGCGTTTCCGTTCCGCTGTGGGTCGAGGATCATGGTGGCCATGCTGTGCTGCATTGACAACACCGCACTTTTAAGCAGGTGGATAGATGATGGGGGGCTGGTGCTACTGGATCGACCACGAGAGTGGGCTCTTGAAGGCAATAAGTGGGGTGGTGGTGAAGCAGCTTCATGATTTTCATGGGAGCAAATTCTGATTACCACCTGCCATGGGTTGTCATGGGTGTCAACCTACTTGTTTTCCTGGAGGATTTTTACTTCTTACGGCATGTGGCTTTCGACATGAGGTGTCAATGTGTGGCTGGAATTCCCAAGAAGCTATGGCCGCATCCAACAGTGTTGCATCCCTTTAGCTTCGCAATAGCGGAGCTTGGTTGGCTGCTCCTGTAACTGTACAAAAACTAAACTTCAATTTAGCAAGCTTGATTTGCCAAGTTCCATAGAGATACAAAAACCATACCAAATGAAGTGTTGATCATGCCTTTGATAAATATATTGGTTCCCATCGTCACTGCCGGTCCAATGATCCCACGTTCTTGAAAATGTCGAAGCAGCTCGAATTTGTGATCCAAACTGCATTTGACCCATGCATAAGCTGTGAAATGATCAAGAGCAATGGGGAGATGCTGGTTTTGAAGAAGTTACACTGTTGAGCTTCCACATTTTGCAAAGACAACTGAATCAATCTTCTGCAAAAATCTTCTATCATCCAGGTCGCCTGAAGTGAGAGATATGCTATAAAACTGGACTAATGTTAATTGATATTCATACTAGTGACATCGTATTTATGTCTTTAATGGTTGGAAAACTTGGCAAATCAAGCCATACTAACTTCAATAAGTAGTTGAAGTATGATTTCTATAGTATGGCTGTAAGATCAATGAAGTGTTGATCATTCTGTGAGAAATTTGTTGAGATGCTCCATGAAGTTGTCAAAGTCATCGTTGCCAATGAGGAGTGCAAATCTAACGTAAGAATTATCTCGCTCATCGCCATATCCACCAGCGCGTCCAATGATCCCTGCGTTCTTGAAAACGTTGAAGCAGCTCGAGTTCATGATCAAGCCTGGATCTTCACATTTGACCCATGCATAAGCTGCGAAATTATCAAAAACATTAAGAACGAAAGATCTGTTTTTGAAGCTCTTTAGTTACCTGGAGATGGCGAGATAATAGCTTTGAAGAAGTTACACTGTTGAGCTTCCACATATTGCAAAGAGAACTGCATCGACCTTGCAAAAATCTTCTCGAGTTTCTGCCATCGAGAATTCATGACTGATTGTGCAAAGTGAAAAATATGCTGCGACTTTGCATAAACTTGAGGATCTCGCACTCCTGTTTTGGCTCCAGTAGTTGAGTAGCCTTCCAGGACAGCTCTCAGCAGCCGCGACGCTCGAAGCTGTGTGTCATGAGAAACTCCATTCGTGTTTAGCAACACATATTGTGAGAGTCTAGCATAAACTTTTGGATCCTTGACAATCGCCCAGCTGCAAGAAAATACACAGAGATCTTATCAAACAAGAAAAGAGAACAAAAAACTGAAGACCAACAACAAAACCACCAAAAACAAGTACAGCAGACTCAAGTGATTACAAGGATGAAGAACTCTAACAAGAAAGACGAGGAAAAGGTCAAATAAGTTTACCCGAGCCTGCTTCCTGCGTGTCCGGTGAGCTTGGAGAGAGTGAAGAGCATAACATCGTCGTCCATGGCCTTGAAAATGGGAGAGTAGTGCGGCCAGTAGTAAGCTCGATCGAAAACCGTGAACGATCCATTAAACTTGAGCTCGGGCTCTTTCATGCTCGCGTCCGGATTGTTTGGAGCCGCCACAAACTCGATAAAAGTTGAGCCAGTGTTTGCAAACTTTTTGGCAGCGATGGATGGCTCGCCACCCCAAATGTATTGTGTGGAAGCGAAGAACTCCGTTTGCATTTGGTACGCCTTATAGAAAAATAAAAAAGTTTGAGAAAGAGTTCTCCAAGAAATCTTACCTGGTAGTATGGAGCTCGTGACACGACGAGCGCTGGTGGTGATTTTGGAAGGGTGTTTGAGGCAATTGGAGCTAGGCTAGCGACAGCAGCGTTGATGAGCTCCATGGATCCAGTCCCAATCACGATGAACTTGTCTTTGATTACGGCATTTCCCACGAACTCGTGGACTTGCCGGATGAGCCTCTCCAGCTCCAGCGTGATCCTCCTCCCCTCCGCCGTGGCCTCGGTGAGGTAGCTCATCCGGTGAACTGGCGGGATCACTACTGCTCCAGCCTCGGCATTCGCGTCCCAAAAGGGCTCCAAGAACATTGGATCACCACTGTCAATACCGTGATCAAGCTTGGAACTTAGTTTTCGACTCTAGAGACTTTGAAAGTATCTTGAAAGCGTACCTATCGACTTTTGCGTTGCAATTTTTGATCTTGCTCGAGCAATCTGTCCCAGCGAAGCACCTGTTACACTCGCACGAAGGCTCTCCATTTGCCGCAAGGATGGTGTCCAGGAAGACTCGTCCATGGCCCGAGCAAGGAATTGCCGCGGCCTTCTGCGGATGCCTTGCTCGTCCAGTGATAATCTCTGGAAGATCTTAAAACACCAGCAGATCGTCCAAGGTGGAAGAACTCTGATTGAAGGAACAACACCGCGACTGCGAAAGCCAGGAGGAGATTGAGCAGCAAAGAGAGGAGAAGCGCTTGCTTTGAAACGACCCATGGATGACTTATGCTGCTGACGTAATGGAGGAGAGGCTTCTCCTCATCTCTTGGAGATCCAGCAGCCATAGCCACTGAAAAAAGAACCCCTACAGTACATAACGTGCAAAAACTTTTATATAATCAGTCAATGTTGGGCCCTAGAGAATTATATTATCGAAACCGGGTCTCTCGGGTGAGAGCCTGACAACGGATTAGTATTAGAGGCCTCTTTGCAATGCCCATTCGGGGCAAATGCTGCGATCATAGAAGGCCACGAAACGAGATCCCTATCCTTGTTCGTGACGAAGATCTCTTTAGCACGATCAATAGGTCGTAGGCCCTTGTACATGTTAAGGGAAGGGTATTTTCCAGCACTATTCCATCTCAACCGCCGCCGCAGCAAGCACAATGACTGGCCCACGTGCCGCGAGCCGGGCCGTGGGATGCGGTGCATCCGACGGCTGTTGTTACTTGCTTTCCGCGCATTTCTCTTTCGCGCTTTCCCTGGCAGCTTCTCCCGACACGGGCGTTTATCGTCTTCCTGGGGCGCCTTCCCGGAAGAAAATGTGATCCGTTCGAGGCGCGCGAGCTATGCCGCTTCATCCCCGGTAAGGATCTTTGGCGGAGGCTAGGGTTTTGGATCGAGAGGGTTTGATCCGGCGAGAGAGAGAGAGATGAAGCTGCTCAACAAGATCTTCCACAAGAAAAACGATCGAAGCCCCGTGTCGTCGCCGGATGGAGGCGGCAGCGGCAGCAGCAGCAGCAGCAGCAACAGCAGTGGCCCGGCCATGGCGAAATATTTCTCCAGGAGCTCGGTCATGTCTCCAAGGACGAAATCGGTGGATGCCGCCAAGGTGCTGCGCGTGCTGGGCGCCGAGAACAGGGATCAGGAGGCGCAGATCATCAAGCAGATGGAAATGCGAGCCGAGGTGGATCCCGACTCCACGGATGTTTCGTTCGAGGAGGTGGAGGATCACAGGCCCGCGACGCCCACGGCCCCGGGCTTCTTCTCCGAGCACAGGAGGTCTTTGGATTCCTTCGGCGACACCTCGTCGTTCGAGAGCCGATCCATGTCTCCGACACCATCTTCGCGGCTAAGTCCTGCCAACGATCCGTGGTGTCGATCTCCTCAAAGTCCTCGCAGTGGTAACGGGTATAGCTTAGCGCTAGCAGCGGCAGCAGCAGTCACTCCTGGGAACACCATGACAGATTCTTCTCGTGTTCCACACCCTCTTCCATCGCGATCGCCACCTCCCGCAGCAGCAGTGTGTCGTCGTGCTGGGAATAGTTTGCGAACCGCGGCGCCAGCTCCGTTGCCTCTCCCGAGGAAATCACTGGGATGCGCGCTGGATTTCTCGCATCGAAAGAGTTCCGAGAGGTCACCGCGCTTCTCACAGTCTCCACAGTCTCCTCACCGGTCTCCTCTCCACTCGCCATCCCGGCTGCTAAAGTGTCAAAAGCTCCAGGAGCTGGGACGTGGATCTTTCGCGACGGTGTACGAGGGATTCATGTAAGGTTTTTCGTTCTTCTTTCTATCGTTGGTGGCTCATTTTTAGCGTGATCTTTTCAGGGAGGATGGGAGCTTCTGTGCTATCAAAGTTGTGCACGACTCAATCATGACCGAAGAGACCACGAAGGTGAAAAGTCGTCTGCTCTTGTGCTAACATAAATGTTTTCGTTTCTTCAGGAGGTCCAACTTCTTAGTCAGCTGAATCACCCCAACATTGTGAGATACCTAGGAGCTTGCATTGTGAGCACCTCGAGGTTCCATGGAATTCATTCTCTTAACACTTCGGTGTCTTTGGGAACAGGATGAAACTGGCTCCGTCTGCATCTTTCTGGAGCTCATGAAATCCTCCCTGAAGACGATACTGAACAAACTTGGCGGTTTCGAGGAGAGCACGATACGTGCGTATACACGTCAGATACTTCATGGGCTGGTTTATCTTCACGAAAATCACACGATCCACAGGGACATCAAGTGTGCAAACATTCTAGTCGACTCTCTCGGCCAGGTCAAGCTTGCCGACTTTGGTGTTGCGAAACAGGTATTCCTGTGCTTGTTTTTTTCCTTAGTCGCATTAGTCGCTTTAATCTGAGCTTTGCCGCCGCTTGCAGACCCCACTGGCGTCGTCTTTGAAAGGTACACCGATTTTTATGGCACCGGAGGTACGTTTTGTGAGAGTCAAAATGCGTGACTTGAGGGGAGCTAAGAATTGGTTGTCGTTTCTAGGTGGTGACTCCAAATCCATCCAAAAGATCCTATGGAACTGCCGTGGACATATGGAGTCTTGGCTGTACAATTTTGGAGATGTCAATGGGGAAGCCTCCTTGGAGTGACTTGGGGGTGAGTGAAGAACAAAAAAAATCCTTTTTCTTGTTTTCAATTGACATTTCGTTGTGATGTGTCAACAGTTCGGGTTTTACTTCAAACTTTCGAAAGGAGAGGCCCCTCCAATCCCAGACAGCTTGAGTCCTATAGCGAAAGACTTCGTTCAACGATGCCTGCTCTTCAATCCGGAAGACAGACCAAAAGCCATAGAGCTTCTCCAACACCAATTTGTACTAAACGCGCCGTCATCCGTGCCGTCCTTCCCCACGTCGCCGTTGGCGTCCCCAAGAGCCTCGCCAATGTGAGTCCGACGAGTTCTCTAATTCTTCTTCTGTGCTAACTTGTGATTTGCCTGAAACAGCCACAGGCAAAGTGGTGCGAGGAGTTCACTAGTGCAAGACACGACACACTTCCATCCAATCGAGGGGCTGAGACGAAACGGGAACCTGACCATGATAACACGAGAGGACTCCGGATTCTCACCCGTGATCCACAGAACTCGTCTAGAACCTCAGCAGATGATTTATAGAACTCCTCTCAACTTGGAGAGAGAGCCAGAGCTTTAGGGGCTTGTGCTATAGCTTCCCGGCAGCTGGTTTTTTGTAGAAATGGTGACCCCTGATATATAATCTGTAAGTATATCTTCCTGGTTTGTTTTTCGTTGCTCGGATCTGACTAGAGTTTCTTGCAATCAAAGGCTCCATTGTTTCCAAAACCGTGGAGATCTGCTGCCGCTGCTATGCTACGATCGATGAATACCAGAGAAAGCTATGATCGACGACAGAGAAGCAACGGAGACGGAAGAGGAAGAAGAACAAGGCTACATGACAATGCTTGGAGGAAGCCTCGAAGGCATGAAGACGAGACCCATCAAGAGCACGAAGATGATGAGAGGGACGAGCATAAGAAAGAGAGGCGGGGGTGGAAGTGGTGGTAGAACAATGGGAAGGACAACGACCAGGACGGCCACCACAGCCAGCAGCGTGAGCGAAGCACAGTCGAAGTAGTTTACCATGAACAGTGGATCCGAGACGCTGCGATCAGACGAACCATCCGAGGCGGATCTCCGTGGATCAACTTCTACACCATCAAGCTCGAGCTCAAACGTTTTCTTCGAGGAACACGCGCCGCAGAGACACGAGGAGGAGGAAGAGGAGGAGGAGCTCACGCTCATCTTAGAACAAGAGTTCTCGCTCGATCGCTCAGTCCGGAGGAGGAAGAAGAAAAGGAGGAAGAAAGGCCACTGTCTATCATTCTCAGGTTGTTGCAAAGAAGAGAGACAATTACGCTGGAGAGATGCAGTGAACTGGAGCAAAAGTCCTGGATCGATCACAGCAGCAGCAGCAGCAGCAGCAGGAGGTAGCAGCACCTACATTCATTGCATTGACATTAAAATCTCCCTTGCCAGGTTCTTTTCTTTCCAGTCCTCGAGGAGGCCTCGAGGAAGAAGGAAGCTCTCGAAATATTCCCGTAAACTCTTTCGCTGTGCGGCGTCGCTGTTCTCGCGCAGCGCGAATCACCAAGTGTAAGTGTGTGAGAGAGAGGCAGAGCTTAAAGCCACACACAGAGAGAGAGAGAGAGAGAGAGAGAGAGAGAGAGAATGGAGAGAGGCCAAGTTCTTCCCCCCCTTGCTAATGCTCTACGTCTTTTTCTCTTCTCACACCCAACCCAACAAAAGAAACAAGAAAAGAAAGAGGGGTCGCGAGAGAATCGCCAGGAACCTTGTTCGATTCAGAGAAGCTTTGGTGTTTTTTTAATCTTTGCTTGAAACATGGAGAACAAGAATGGAGGTCGAATTTTGGGCTTGTACATGCATGATTCAGTGCTCTGCAAATGCGTCCTCTCGGTCCCCAAAAGGAGGAAACCTCCATTGTTGTCTCGCGATTATCTCTTTTTTTTTTTCGCAGTGATTTGATTCCTTGATTCCATTGTCTCTCCCTTTGGTTTGGCGGTAAAATGGATCAAACACTTTGGTTTGAGAGACCCCAGAAGTAATATAACGGTCGTGGTGAGATCACGATTACGACACAGTTGCTGGGGTCCAATCCGACCACCGTTAGTTCTCACGACTAGACTAAGCATCTGGGTCGTCGCAAAACGGCATTTCCTCACGTGGGCAGTGATCACTCCCTCGAATTCCACGCTCGATCCAATCGATCTCGGCAATCTTTCTAGCTCCAGATTGATACCATGGTGGCGATGAGCAGCGCATACGCTGCAGCGTTCTCGCCATCCAATTCCAAAACCTCGTGAGCTGCGCGAGTTCCTAGCTCCCCGCCCTGGAGCTGGAGCTGGAACTTACACGCAGCGAGGACGCACATCCAGTCGAGAGAATCTGGCGCGAAGGGCATGTCCAGCACAAGTTCCATGGAATCTCTCACGCATCCGGCCCGCCCAAGTGCGTCCACGACGCAGGTGAAGTGCTGCTTCTTGGGCTCCAGGAAGAAATCCTCGCGCATCGACGCAAAGCAGCGCCGGCACGCCTCCAGCTCCCCGCCGTGAGTGAATGCCAGCAGCGCCTGGACGAAGCACGATTCGTCCGCCTCCTCGAAGACCACCTTGAAAAGATTGAATTGGTCGACAAAATCTCCCGCGGTGGGAGTCCTGGCATCGTTCCTCGCGAAAGTGTTGTGCGAATGGGCGGCAAGCACGGCAGACCAAGACAGTACGGACTGTTCCGGGCTGGCGTTCAAGGTTTTCATGGCCTCACACGCAAGACCGCATTGTCCGTACGCGAGGATCATGGCCGTCCAGGTCACGTCGCTCTTGTCCGGCATTGCACGGAAGAGTTCCTCTGCTTCCAGCAGATGCCCTGTAGCGGCAAATGCTGCTAGCATGCAGTTTAATGTTGCAAGGTTCCACTCAGGCATTTTGTCGAAGAATTCTTTTGCTAGCCCAATGTCTTGAGACACGCAGTAGCCAGTAAGCATAGAAGTTAAAGTTATAATGTTCTTTTGTGGCATTGATTTGAGTAAGTTGGCGCACTCTTCCGGATACGAGCCTTGGGCAAGCCCGTCCAAGAGAGTATTCCATGAAACTAGATCCCAGTAGGGCATTTCCTCCAAAAATAGCTTCTTGGCCTCGTCAACTCGACTGTTTTGAGCAAATGCCGAGAGCATCGTGTTCAAGGACACAATGTTCCAAACCGGCATCGTTTCATAAAAGAAATGTCGGGCACATTCTACACGGCCAGCCTTGGAGAACGCTGCAAGCATGGAATTCATGGATACCAAGTTGTGCTCCTGCATAACGTCAAAGAAGATCCGTTTCG